CCCGCTGAGAATTCCATCTGTGCCTCGGTGCCTTCCTCCATCCGCTCGCTCCTGCCCACTCTCTACCTATCAGGACCCCAAAGCAAGGAATGAGTAGAACCCATATATGAATAAGGCAAGATCAGAATGGGACTCCGGTATCCCACTATAAGCATGCCGCCTGGCGGTGACTCCTGGGTCTGAGTATGGGGCAGAAGGCATGGTGGTTGGTAGAAGTTGTCTTTATCAGCATTACCCAGGACACCTGGGGGTCCTCAGAGATCTCAGCCAAGGTGGCCTTGGAATTCAGCTGTGTTCCCATATGAGCCTTGGACTCAACAACTGCACTAAACCTATTATCCTATACCAGGGCCAATCTTGCTCTTCACAGGGATCCACACCTCCACACTCTCCAAGAAGCAGCTCCCAGGAAGGGATTTTCTGCATTTCAGGGGACCCCAGGATGGCTCTAGAAGAGCAGAGGGCTAGTGCCGTCCTGTAACATAAAAGTATTTTAAAAAGACACCTGTATCCTTTATTTTGGCTATCAGAGTATTGAAATAATGGGCCCCAAGAAACTGGAATTTCCCCCAGGAATCTCATCTTAGAAGAGAAAGCCTGACAGAGGAGAAGCAGAGATTTACCACTTGTTAGACTGCCTTACAGAACAATGATAGAGCCACAGGGGTGGGGGTGGGGGGTGTAGGACCACAACCTGACCAAGACTGCATAGCTATGCCCATCTCTGATTCTCTATTTAAACCTTAATCTTACTTCAGGACTCCAAATTGGACAGGGGAGGAGGAGGTATCACTGGATCTCTCTGTCCCTCTTCCCAATGTGTCCACATTAAATAAATCTCATTTTTCTGCTATTTATTATTTGGTATCTGAGCCTGGCTTCCTGAGGCATCAGACTGTGACCCTAAGTTTAACAATCCTACTTCCCAGTGGATAATGATAAGACGAGAAAATGACTGTCCACTTGGGAGTGGGCCTCCCAAGTCCTAAAGATGACAGCAACACCCAGCCCAGCACAAACTTGAGCTCCCAGCATTCACCTTGAGCTACTACTAGGTTTCCTCTTTTGCTCACCTACCATCTAGTCTAAGAAAAGGCGGCCATCAGTCCCTCCTTTGCATGCTAAATCCTCCCTTCTCTCACTCTGTTCCTGTCCAATTAGTATAGAGGTGACCTCCGCCAGATACCCAGGATCCCTATAGCCTGACCCACACCTCCCCTTGTCTTCATGGAGCACATGGCCTTGATCTTTATGTCTGCCCCACACAAAGACTATGCTCTTAGATGTCAGGGACTGTGCTGTGCTCTACTGTCTGTGCCTGATGTGGTGACTAGTGTGAGAGAAGGGAGTCATGTTGCTCATTCAGAACCTTCCTCTGTTCCCCCAGAGAACCCCAATCCCAAGCCACATGTCAAGAAACCCTGCCTATAAGGTGGGGGTTTGAAATAGGGACTGTGAAGAGTTCCTGAATTGATGTAAAATATAAACATCACTAGGCACCTAGTGAATATTCACTAGTATTACTGGGTGATCAATGAAGATGGTCAGCTAAGTACAAGACAACATATTTAGCATTGCAGTTACCTCAAATAATGAGATGTGTTATATGACAGCACCCCCAGAGGGAGCTGGGCTGTTCTTATGGAATAGAGTTCCATCAGCTGCCATAGTGGCAAGAAAAGCAGACCCTACCTCAAAGTGTCCTTTCTGATTCTAAGCATCCGGTGCCTGGAGACTTAAGGGGCGTGGCTTGACACTGCCCTACAATAGTAGTTTTCTCACACAGGTGGCTCTTCCAGGGTCATTACTCTTTGACTCCTCTCTCCCCATCACTCCAAACAGTAGAGTCAGATACCAGCCTTGGCATGAATAAACCAGGTGAGGTTGAGTTGCCCACCTGGGGCTCATTATTCCCCTTCAGCCACAGTCCTTGGGGACTGGTTTCATAAAGACTGTGGGAAGAAGAGCCTGCCAAAGTGTGGGGTGTGGCCTTCAACATATGGGCTCAAATCCCATCTCTTGCAGCTTTCTTTCTCTCAGTCTTTGACTTAATATGTTGTTCCTAATCTCTCCTTCTCTGAGCTGTGCAGGGTATACAGTAGAGCCACCTTAAATGCCGTTCGCAAATGGGGCCTGGGGGTGGGGGGCTGGAGGGGTGTTTGAGTACTTCTAGGTTTGGACCCAAGATGATGCAAGAGAGACTGGGTATATTCTGACCTTCCAGAAACCCAGAATGCTAATGCAGTCCTGAAACTGACCTTCCGGAGTTGGCCAGGGCAGTGCTAATTGGGGTCTTGGGGTCACCAGCTTCCCACCCTTAGGGAAGGAGGGACTGGGGCCTCCCCCATCGCCCTGCTCTGGCCCAGGGAATTGCTGGGCACTGGCCCACTGGTTAGGAACTGGGTGAGAGGTTGAAAGAAGCTGGGTGGTCCGTGCAAACCAGGGGAAGACCAAGGCCAAATCCCAGCTTTGCAGGGTGGTCGGGTCAGGGGAACTTCCAGAAGAATCCAGGAATCCAGCTCCCCCTCCTCTGCTGTGCTACTCTACTGGGCACATACTACTCCTGTTCTTTGAGACTACTTGCTCCTATCTCTCTCACAGACAGGGTGGGCCTCCGTGAGGTCACGTGTGTCTGAGCATCCACCTGCCTTACCACACTGGGGCCTTTACAACTGGACCATCCCGTTTGGCTCAGCCAGAGCTTGAAGAGTGGGTTCTGCCTACCCTGGGGCTGGGAGGGGAAATCCACAGTCCTTCCCAACACCTGGCCCTTGCTCCATTTGGATGACCTAGCCCAGTTCTAGGACAGACCACGGGGCAGGAGGCAGCAGGGCTTCCCAGGTCCTCACCATGCACTTGCGGTCATCGATACCGGTCAGATCCTCCTCAAACTCCTTCCCAATCTGAAAGTCCATGATGTAGTTTCTAAAAGTGCTCAGCGTGCGGATGATCATGTGGTCTCCCTCCTGCACGATCTCTTTGTCTGGCTTCAGCAAGTTGGCGATTTTGCGCAAGGCCACGTTGACATCTGCAAGGGGTATGGAGATAGGCCCGCAGAGAGTAGGTAGGAAAACTCAGAATGGTTCCATTGGCAGAGGGCCCCTGGGCGCTGTTCCACCGAACAGCAATGTTGGGATTCCCCACTCACGTTGCACTGACTGCACAGCCTGTCCCTTTTCTCCTACGTTTTTGTTCTTTTGAAAACAAAGTTTTTTGCCCTTTTTGCTAGCCCTTTAACAACAAAAACTAGCAACTCCAGCCAGATCTACTGATTAAATTTTCCACCTCCAGAGCTAGCTAGCCGACTCTTGCCACCCATTAACCCTGACAGATCCGGTGCTCCCGTTGGCAGCCTGTGGTCACATTCGGGGATTCTGCCGGGAGGGAGCACCCAGTGTTGAGCACCTCGGGCAGCGCTTACCGAGCGCGCGCAGGTACTCCTCGAAGTTCTCGTTGCTCAGCATCTTCCAGTACCCGGTGAAGTCCACGGGCATTTTGGGGAGTAACTCGGCCACGAACAGGGAGGTAGCGGCTCTGGGAAGTGCCGGGGCAAAGGCAGCCGCAGCGACCCGGGAGACCGACGGTCCGGAAATGAGCGCCTTTGGGGACCCGGGGCGGCGCGCGGCGACTGCAGGGTTCGGATGGAGCACAAAGCCGGGGGGAAGATCCGTCGGGGCCGTCGCTCCTCCCCGCTGGCGAGGGCGGGGCGGGGCGGGGCGGGGGTGAGGGAGGTCCTGGGCCAGGTGGAGGCCTGCGGGAGACCACCCCCAGTTCGGGCCTTCCATTTCTTCCTCTTGCTTCCGCAGCAAAGGAAGGGCAGAAGTGAGAGAAGCGGGCTTGCTCTGGGCGCCAAATTCCGTGCTCCCCAGCCAGCCTTCAGAAGCCTTGAACCTCTCACCCGCAGGCCCCTGGGGTGTTGGGAATTTGCCTCCTCTGGGACTACCAGCATGGTTAGAGGGGAGGCCATTTACAGGCCTTTGTTTAAGCGCCAGGGAAGCTGGTCTGTTCAACCCCCCTCCCCCCGGGGTGGGGGAGAAGAGCAGGCACTGCCCACAGCCCCCCCCAAATGAAAGCGAAGCTGGTGTTATTTAGGGTGTACTGGGCAAGAAGGTGCTCCCTGGGAATCCCTTGCACAGTGATCCGACACCCAGGGACTTCTAGCAGATGTGGGTCCTCGCTCCAGTGTGGTTTATTATTTTTTCCTTTTCTTTCATATGATGACAGCACATCGCTTCCTGAGGTCTGCACTTTGTTTTTTTCACTTAATATATTCTGGAACCCTTTTCACGCCTGTGCATAGAAGAAAACCCCATTGTTTTGCAGCAGCCACTGCTACCCAGCATGGCTCCTGCTGGGTGTGTGGGGTGAAGACTGTCACATGTCACCTGCCGCCTATGTGCCTACTACCAAGGAGACACATAATCACAATGGCTGACTTTTTGACCCTCTATTAAAGACTAAAGAGCTCTTCTAAATTGCTTTTAGCACACATCACAATCCGGGAGACAGCAGCTCAGGGCATAGTTCTCCCTCATCCTCTAGCAGCACTACCACGCCTCCACCCCCAGTGCTCAGTGCACTGGCTGGATTAGGAAAGGTCGTGGTTTTCCCCAGGGTAGGGCCGTGACCTGGAAAGGCTGGGGTTTTAGTCCCTTTGACCTCCCTTGCTCTATACAAGGGTCTCACCTTCAGCACTGTTGACATACTCTTCAGCACTATATACATATATACTGTTTATACCATCTCATGCTCCACAGGCACAGTGAATAGTGCTGCCAGACTAGGACATACATGCTGAAAGAGAACTGACTCCTGCAAGTCCTCTGACATCCAAATGGGTACTGTCTCCCCTCCCCCACAAAATGAATAAAAGTAATTTAAAACATGATATTAATTCCTTGATATCATCAAGTACCGGGAAAAGGTGCAGTTGCTTTTTTTGGGGGGGGGGGGTCTTTTTGAGACAGGGTAGCTCCACCTGTCCTGGCACTATGTAGACCAGGCTGGCCTTGAACTCACAGAGATCCTCCTGCCTCTGCCTCCCGAGTGCTGGGACTACAGGCATGTGCCACCATGCCTGGCCCTGTTGCTTATTTTTTTAATTTGATGTTTGTTTGAATTTAGATCCACTTAAATTCCATAGGTTGCCATTGGTTACCATATTGCTTATGTTATGATTTATTTTTCCATTACAAAATATAAATACAATTCCATTGACTATTTGTACCTCTCCTTTCTTTTTTTTAAAAAATATTTTATTTATTATTTTTATTTTATGTGTATGTGTGTATTGCCTGCATATAGGTAAGTGCACCTGTGTTGTGCAGTGCCGTAGAGGTCAAAAGAGGCTGTCGGATCCCCTGGGACTGGAGTTACCGACAGTTGTTAGCTGCCATGTGGGTGCTGGAATTTGAACCTGAGTCTTCTGCAAGAACAACCAGTGTTCTTAACCACTGAGCCATCTCTCCAGCACTACCTCTCCTTTCTTAGATGAGAGA